AGTAAAGCACAACAAAACAAATCTAGCAGGTTGGGCATAGATGTTCTAAGTCTTCCAGTGCCACAGATGGATCACAAGGCCACAGTTCCTACAGAAGAGCACTGTCACTATGGAACAGCTGCCAACATGAGTGCAGCTAGCTGGGAAGCACTACAGATCTAGCAAGGAAAAATGTAGGAAGCATATAAACACCTTCACAATCCCTTTTTCAATATTGGTGCTTCTCTTCTTTTTGGGAATGTCCATGCATATGTGACCAGGATTTTCCTATGGTTTGGGGTCCAGTTTGGCTGCACAACCCCTGCACCAGAAGAGATTCTTTAAGAGGGCAGCAGAGCAGAAGGACGAAAACTACAAAGTATAGCAGTAGTTCTCTATTGCAAATACTCAAAAAGAAAATGAGGCTTCCAGCTTTTTCCTCTCTTTATGTCATACTTAAGTTCAGGATAAATCTCTCTATAAATCTCTTTCTGAGTTACTAACTCCCTTTATTTCTTCACGGTTGTGTACAACATAGACAATGACTGTTCAAGTGATCCAATATCATACTTCATTAACAAAGACACACATATCAGAAGTTGCTAGTATAATCCTTTTCCAGACCCAAGGAAGTATAACCAAATATTGGGTAACACACTCTGAGAAGACTATCAGTGAGTTTCTCTATTTGTTTATATAAATGGGCTAATGCTTTAAAGTACTTCAGAGCACTTAACCAAAGCAAACAAGCACTTGAACTTTAAATATCTAGCAAGAGGAGCTATTGACAAGTATGACTTTACTTAGTAAATCTTAATATCTTTGCAAACTTGAATTTACAGTCTCTTCATGAGGAGAAACAGCAGACTCTTATCTCAGCCTCAGCTCTACCTCATGCTCCCACACAGTGAGAGGGGTAAGCAATTGCACACTCCCTTTTTATTTATTTTTGTTTAAACAGAACTGCTTCAAGTTTTCCTGGATGAGCACCCTGGGCCCACAGTAGTCTTCAGAAAGCTGTTTCTGAAGCTGAAACCAGAACATTATTCTCTCTCTCATTTGTCCTGTTAAGTACGATTTCTCCATCTGAAAGAACTTCCCTTTCAGCTCCTTGCTACCCACAGGCAACAAAGCATCAATGATGGAATACATCTACCATGCACTCTCTGAATAACTCCCAAGAGGTGAATAACACTGTGGGAATAGCTCGCTACTCTCAGTAAAACACTGAGCAGAAGCATTCCTCTGGTGAGCAGCCCTGTAGTAGAGTCAGTTTGAGGTCCGTCTTTTTGGTCTTCACACTTGAGAAACCCTTCTTAGCTACTGCATTATATACAATTAGAGTGCTCATTCCTTAGCCAAAAGATGATCTGATGTCCATATACATTTCCGCTGAGAAACCAGCATCCAAAGAAATGGTCATAATTAGTATTCTGTTGGTTTAAACAGTATTTTTTTCTTTGAAACATTATGACTTCATGTAGGTCAAGTACCACACAGCTTCATAGCTGGACTCTCTGCCAAATCCGGTTTGCTGTACCTGAGCAGCTGCACTCAGTAAGGATTTATGTGTCTTGAGGACAGGTCAGTGGCAATTTTCAGAAGGATAAAACCACCAGTACACACCAGATCATCTCAAGCCCTAAGTTTGCACTGAGAACCATGAATGCTGCACTTAAAGCAAGCCCTTCCATCCAGCAGCAGGCTAAAATCCTGCCGTAATTTAACTTTTTTTTTTTTAATTTGTTTTGCACTCAACTTATAGCGCATGTCTGTACAGTGCAGGAGTGTGTGCCTGGAGAGTGTTTCCTTGTGCACACACCTGCATGAGTGTACGCACATTGAGTGAGTTTGGTGGCACAGCCTATTAAAAGATTTGCACTAGCCAGACTGGTAACAAAGATCCCTCAAAATCTATTTTACTAGAAATAAAAAAACCAAACAACAGCGCAGGTGAGATGCAGTTGAACATATGAACTACTCAGTGATAAATCTTCAGTCTAGATGCAGTTCCTGAAGGAAACAGCTTTGAAATTTCATTGAAATACCCTTTATTTTATAAATAGATTTTAATAAATAAAACAGCTGAGAAAGAAAACAACCTTTCTCAAAGTTTATGAAGTAATATGTCTGTTTCTTATAATTTCTCAAGAATCCTGATTTTAAGCTCAGGTGTCTACTAGCACATGATCTCCACAGTTGACGCTGAAGAACACACAGCTTTAATCAAATTAATATTCCAGAGCCCAGTTTTCTGATATTATCTTCCCCTCATCCCCCCAGGTAGGAGTTTTTCTATAGAACTATTTCTGCTCCCTAATCTTAATCAGAAAGTGAAACTAGAATTAAGGTTATTCTTGGTTGCTCTGTTCAAGATACACTTTGGTCTACTATGTGAAGCAAGTTGGATTTGGACATACTGAGTACACATCACAATGCTCTGACAGGAAACTGAAAATAAATAGAAACTAGTATTTTTTTTATTGTTAGTAATACAGCGTTCACTTATTTAAAGAACAATTCTTATTAGTGAATGCATATTTGAAAGATCAAGTCCAACTAGAAAAGCAATATAGCACACTTTTGGGTACAAATATCCCAAATAAAATGCTATCTTAGAACAGTGATAAAAACATGGCTACAACAAAAGAAAGTGTAATTCAGTTTTCAACACACTGCAAGTAACATGATGTAATTATTTAGAAAGCCATCCATGACCCCATGGTTTTGGTAGAAATGAATTAAAGGGCAAAACTGAAGGAGAAAAACTCAGACAAAATGAACTCAAAGAGAAAAGATAAAAACAGTGGGGAAAAAAAAACAACCAGGCACAGGGAAAGTACTGGTCTACTTTGTTCTAATAATAGAGTCATCAACAGAGTGTCTATATGCACTAACACCTAATTTGAGCATCCTAAATTCTGATCCTGATTTCCAGAGATGGCAACTACATATTTAAAAAAAAAAACTTAAATTGCTCATTACTAGAAATAGATTGATTTGCATGAGAAAGTTAAGAACTAGATTCCCATTTTTTTAATGAATGTTAAGATCATAGGCTGAGCTCTCAAAGTGAGCCCTAACTACCAGGTTAAAGCTTTCCTCGTGTTGGTAGCAGCATCACTGCCCCTGAGAATGGTACTGTGTGGGAGTGGCATTGGAGTAAGCCCAGCAAAAAAAATGGACAACAGCTTTGGAGATGAGCATTGGAACCTTTCAGTATCTAAGGAGGGACTATTAAAAATAAAAAGGGGGACAAATTTTTAGCAGTCTGTTGTGACAGGACAAGGGGACATGGTTTTAAACTAAAGGAGGGAAGATTTAGATTAGATACAAGAAAGAAGTTTTTGCAATCAGGGTGGTGAGGCACTGGCACATGTTGACTGGAGTGGTGGTAGATGCCTCATCTCTGGAAACATTCAAGCTCAGGCTGGATGGGGCTCTGAGCAACCTGATCTGATGTAGGTGGTCCTGTTCATTGAGGACACTTACAAGGAGTTGGACTAGACAATATTTAAGAGTCCATTCCAACTCAAACAACTCTGCAATTCTATAACATGTAGCTCTGCTCCGCATTCAAAGACAAAAAGAGAAACATCAGGATGGGAAGAAAAAAAATCAACAGTAAGAGACTGGAAGATACCTATGTTAGTCTGAGAGCATATGACAACATGGGTCAGGCTTACAAGCAGCTTGGTAAGGGCAGACCCTTTGGTAAGGGTGGAAAAAATTGGCACATGTTGAACAGCTTCCAAAGCTGCAGCCCTTCTCAACTTTTCTATTTTTCATTTGCTTTCTCTCCCTCAGCAAAACTTGCTGGTAGAAGTGCTTGACTGCTTCTCTTATTCTTATGTACATGAATTCAGAACAACCAAAGAAAAGGGAGCTTATCCTATAAGAACATCACCATGTAGGATTGATCCAGTGTGATGCACATCGGGCACAAAACACTGACTGCAAGATAGCAGCCATCATTTTCAACTGCTTCAAGGTTTTATGTTTTAAATTGTGTACTAAATACTAACTTTAGACAGGCAGTGTTTTTTTTTTGCGTGTTGGTTATTGGTTTGTTTTTTTTTTTTTAATCTTTTTTTGCTAGAGTTTACTAAATTTGATATAAGTGACTACACTAAGATATAAGATAATTTGCTTGTTCAGACAATATACCGAGGATCTAACAGTGTTTTCCCACATTGCCAGGTCTAAAAATTGTGTTGTCAGAATTGACATCCCCTGAATGCTACAGATGAAAATTCTTAATTCAGCATTTTTGTGCATTAGCACTTTACCCAAACACAGTTGTTCACGTTGTTAAGAACCACCCCAAAGTTCTTATAACTCATGCATTGCCCATTGCTCTGTAGGAGACAGTTTTTGTTGTACCAGATAGTGGTTTGTCACCCTCTAGGAGAGGCAGCCACCATGATCTTTCTCACCTTTCTTTACTCAGAGGACAGTGAGGCAGTGGCACACCTGCCCAAAGAAGCTGTGGTGCCCCATCCCTGGAGATGCTCAAGGCCAGGTGGGATGGGGCCCTGGGCAGCCAGAGCTGGGGAGGTGGAATTGAGTGAGCTTTAAGGTCCTTCCCAACATAAGCCATTCTATGATCTGCAAGCACACAGCACATTTTCTTATTTTAAATGTACTGCACAATCACAGCTGCTCAAAACACAATTACTTAGCACAAACTACTAAACCCCCCAACCCCCCCATCCAACCACCCTGGGCTCTAGAAAAGTTCAGAAACAGGACCCAGATTGGACAGGCTGGCATAAAACAGCAGTTCACACTTATTCTCTCCAAAGCCGAACACCAGAGAGGTGAGCAGCACGCTGCTGGCCATGGTCTCCCACCACCCCAACTCCTGCCTGTGCATTCTGCCAGAGCAGCGCACAGGAGAGGGCGCAGATCCCCTTCATCACTCACCATCCTTTTCTAGTCACATTCACTACGCATTGCACTAGAAAATCGTAACGGTGTTAAAATATTTTGGCAGGATTTGTTATGGCCAGATCACTCACTTCCTTTGGGACACACAAAGCCTCCTCTGGCAATGAAACAGCCAAAATGTCAGCAAATCCTATAGAACAAAAAAGGGTCTGTCAATGTAGAGCTTAAATGAATCTCCATTAAATGCAAGCAAACAAACAAACAAAAAAATATGCATAACAAAGATACACACACATAAAAAGAAACAGCCTAGCAATAGTCACTTTTTATTAACATTTCCTTTTTTTACCCTCCAGAAACTTTTTAGCAGCATTCCAATGTATTCATCACCAGGTGCTATTAGAGAACAAGCTCACTCCAAGTGTTACCAATTCACAGACAGATTAGAGGGCACATTAATAACATAGTTAATATGAAGTGTTTAGAGCCTTTACGTCGGTGACAAATACGACTCAGCCAAATTTCCTGACCATTGAGGCCACGGAGGAACAATTTGGTAGATTTCATCAACAGCTCTAATTATGTTCCTGTCAAGTCGAGAACAAAGTAATCCATAACTGGGGGGCTGCTCAGACAGTGGCACACAAGAGTAATTTATGCCCAAGACATAGGGCCCTTGTTGTAGTTAGAGAGCACAGCGCCTGACTAACAAGTGGCTTCAAAAATGAATTTATTAGGGAAAGCACAGCCCACCAAAGTGCAGCCTCATGGGATGTTACAAGGGAAGGACTTGTAGCCAGCCCTGTCTATGTCAGCATCCCAGTTCATGCTCTCCCCAAACTCTGCTCTAAAATGCAGGGCCTGAGCTCAAAGCATCACTCAGCTGGGAATGGGACTCCAGGACCAAAAATCACATCAGTCCCTGGAACAGAGGCTGCACCACAGGTGCCCTCTTGCAATCCCATAAGTAAGGCACTAATGAAACACGCAGAGGGATTATTAGCAATAGTGAACTAAAATATTGCCGTATACCATACACCTCTTACCACAGCCCATTGGGAAACAGGCTGAGAAGAGGAAGAGGGGGCAAAATGAGGGAGAAGCCGTCATGTAATTTTGAGTCATTTTCCACTGTGATCTATATTGGGATGCAGCTTCTGTGCTTTAAGACTGGGGGGGGAGGGGGCGCTGGGGGAAGGATATGTGTGGCACTCATGGCATTTCACAGAAAGGCCACGTATCTCTGGGGTTGGGAGGAACATGAAGTCTGCTCACTTGGGACTGACTATTTTGTGAGTAGTTAAGAGAAAACAAAAGTATGCACTGCCAATGTAATTAAGAATAGCTGTAAACCCTTAGAAAAGTAATTATAACCAAAAATTAGACTTAAAACATATGTTTATGACAAATATCAAATGCTGAATGGATTTTAAAGCACAGTTTTCTGGTTAGCTATGAACTAACACTCCTGTCAGCAGTTTAAGGTTTATATTTAACTAGACAGACAACAGAGAACTAAAAAAGTCATTTTGCTGCTTTATATCCTTTATATTCCTTTATTTGATAGCAAAGAAATAAGCTAATGAGATTGGCATCAGCTAACTGAAGCAGCAGCCTACCTGAAGGGACTGAAGCACTGATGATGGGAGCACTCAGACAAGACCTATTTCAGACTGACCACTGTTACAGGAAGGTCGCTTGCTGAATTCCCCACTGGTAAAATGGATGCAACTATGCATCAGGAAGGGCATTATCCTCATGTGTTGTATCTTACCAAGGGATTTTTGGCTCTGGCCTCACTGAACTATGGGTATTAGTTACCTCACCTTATAAGAACTGGTACAGATCAACTGCAAGATGTAGCTGGGCAGCACAACAAAGAAAAACCTTTAACTTCTTTCATGCTTTGCTAAGATTTCTTATTCAAGTTTGCTTCAATGTATCCAAACCTGAAAATCCTCTGCTGCTAAGTTTAGGGAATTCCCCAATGCCTTCTGAGGCGGCTGGTATTAGTCTTACAGCAGAAGCACTTCATAGAATTATGATTACTTGCACCTTATAACACTTTGCATCCAAGGATAAGCAAAACAACAGAACAAATAAAACACACAACTCCCCTCCCTTCCCCAAAAAAGTCACTCCACAAGTATTGATGGCTTAAGCCTCACAAGGAGGCAGAGGGAAAAAGAAAGGACACAGTCCTATTCTACAGATGCAAGAAGAGAAAACTCTGGTAAATCACAGAGGGTAAGTGAGAAGCCAAGCAATGTCTGGACTTCATAATTCCCAGGCTCGTGATTCAGTCACAAGACACGCTTCCTCTCCTGGTGAAATGTCATGCTGCCTCATGCTTCTGTTACAGAACGCATTTTAACCAAGTGTAGCAAAAGCATGATGATCCCATTAAGTATCTAACATCTAATACCTTGTGAAAACTAATTTAGTGCTTTATCAAATCTCTAGTTTGTATGTAGAGCATAAACTGGCTACATTTGCTAATAGGGCAGATTGACCCATCCCATATATTATCAAAACACATCAAAGTCTGCTGGAGGACACAGCCTTAGCTACTTATTATCCTCTGCATTAACTCTCTCACCAGCTACTCAACCAATACGTTTTCCAGTAACACATCTGCCATGATTTCACAGAGAAATCAGCAATTCTGAGCAGCAGGGCAGTTAGAGACAGATAACAGGACTAAAACCCATCGCCCGACTTCTCAATCTGCTGTTAATTGGCAAAAAACAGAAACCCACGGCACCAGCCTTGCACAGCAGCACTCCATTGCTGGCCTCCAGAGATTCCCCTTTAGGCTTGTATTTTTAGAGCTTTAGTCATTCACATGATTTCTGCATGATTTATTACATATGAGGGAGAAATAAAGTGATATACTAACATCAAACTTATAAGGTGATTTTTAATATATATATTTTGTAAGCAGAAAAAGGGCATCTTATGCAAGAGAACATGTAGCTTCGTAATCAGGAAAGAAAGTGCCAGAATATTACTACTAATAATGTTAGATCAAATGAGAACATCTTTGTTGGCTTGGATGCCATGCAATCGTATCCCTGCCTGTGATATATTTAGAGTATTGCTTGAGACACTATATAATGAACTGTAAATTTTGAAACCACACTTCTTAATGGCTGTGAGCTCACCTCCATGGCTAATAGAGGTACTTTTTTTTTTTTTTTTAATTACAACTGTTACTAATCTCTTTCAAGTAGTATTTGTCTTTGGAAATCTGGCCCATTGTATGTGGGACTCTCAGAAACCTTCTCTGACCACTCGGCCACCTGAGTTACCAATTATCTCCATAACCCACTGGTGAGGAAAGCAGCACTGGAATATTCCAGAAGAAAGACAAAAAGAAACTCAACAGAAAGGAGAAAATAAATGTTTCACTTTTTTTATGTGATTATTTACAGTTGTAAAATATAAGCACAGCCCTAGCATGGTGCCTAGTCATTCACATTTAATTCTATGGCTTCCATTGTTTAGTTCTGTACAGACAGTTGGTCAAGCACTGATTTCCTCTTTTCCCTTATAATCTGTGGCTTCCTACATCTTTAACCAGTAATATAAACATGTAAAAGGCATTTTGGGGTGCAGGATGTTTCAGGGATGTATTCTCAGTTATTTCAAGCCCATTGAAGACAGGTCATTTGTCACCCAGCTGTGGTTGGTTGTCACCAAATGGGTCAATACAGCAAGTTTTCTGCTGGGTGAAACATCTAGTCAGAGAAATGAATGCACTGAAAGCAAAAAAAAGAAAAGTGGCCAATGAGTGAAAATGCAACAATTCTATGTTACAGAATTTAGCTGTGAGTCCTTAGAGCTTTATCCCATCTTACTTCTCCGGATGTTGGGGTTTTTTTGTTTGTTTTTATTCCCCTTCTGTTTTTATTTTGAAATCACAGGAACTATACAGCCTACCAAGGCTGTAATCACTCAGCAGGAGCCTGGCACAGGCACAATGCAGCCACCAGTCAGGCAGTGGGGAAATAAAGGAAATCTCTTTCTCCCTCTCCCTGTGTTGCTTAAAAGGGGCTCGGCATGAATGAATCTTCCCGGTAGCCACCAACAATTTCTTATTCCTTCCGAGCAATCATCAATTTCAGTATCAAGTGGTTTAGTGGATCCACAACTGGTAGTGGCAGCCGAGGAAGCCCAGCATGCAAACGTTTTGGCTAATTTAAAACCCTTGTGCTGCCGAATCAAACATGACAAGACAACAGTAAAAAGAGAGGCTATTATCCCAAATGAGAGGCGGCGGATAGCTGAAATTGGCTTGAGTGGCAGAGACAAAAGAGGTAGAAGGAGCAGGCACGATAATACCAGATACAGCATGCACATCCTCCCCCACCCCCAGTGGGCTCACACGTATCACCATGAGAAGGGAAAAAGGCAGCATTTCCAAGTTTCACGCCCAAGCAGAAAAAATACACATAAAAGGATACAAAATAAATTAGCAGCTGGTAAAACATCTGCCCCATGGGGATGGAGAAACTTAACTTACAAGAGGCATCGCCCTTGCAACAGAAAAGCTAACGCTCTGAACATTAAAACTGTCATTTCCTACTGAATTAATGTCCTGCTGCCCAGAGTTCATCACAGTGAGTTGAGGAGCAGAAGCACTGATTTAGGATGGAGTAACCTTAAAAAGAGAGTAACCTGAGGTACAGCCACTATGTACCAAGAGCTCGCCAAGTTCCCAGAGCTCAGGGCTGCCGGGGGAGGCAACGCAGAGGGCAAAGGAATTAATTTTGCAAGGCATTTGGGAGACCATGAGCAGACTGATGATGTTCAGAGCCGTGAACCCTGGTGATGGCTTGCAGCTCACAGAATGACGACCTGTGGGATCACTGGAGAGCAAGCAAGTTGTCTTTTGCAAGATTAACAATTTAAAAGTGCTGAAATTAATTTTGTTTAATAGCTGTGGGTGCAGACTCCTCACAAAGTAGGTTGCAAGGTCAGCAAGCCTCCTAAAGCCTTTTAAAATGCAGCTTTTTATAGGGACAGTAGATTTAGGGTGGCTGAGGTCTTAAAGATCTAAAAAAACAGAAGTGTAAGAGGTCACTTCCTACCACTTCCAAGTCTTGGGTGAAGACATCTCTGTTTCACTTTTCACTTGTAACACACATTTACTGGTACATTCACAGCTACTCGAGGCAGCATGGGCTT